ATAGAATTTTTTTTCGAGACTTCTATATCACTTTCTCTTAAAGAACCGATATAGAATTATTTTTTGAAACTTGTGTTCTTTTATATATCACTTTTCTATATCACTTTCTCTTAAAGAACCGATATAGAATTGGTTTTTGGAGGCTTATGCTCCTTATATTTATTCTCTACATTTATTCTCTTCTAGTTTATTTTTGCAAAAATATATATTTAAACATATATTTGAAATATATGTATTTAAATATATAATTTTTCTTTTCCTTTATTCTATCTCATCTATTTACATATGGTACGCTTTTATCGGGTGGGTATATACTCTCTTTAAATCATAAAATATAAAAACTCGGTCGCGAAAGTAAAATAAATTAAAAATAATACTTTTTAATTTTAAAACAACTGTCCCTCGCGTAAAATATTTGATAGATTTGAAAACTTTCCAAAGTAGATAAGTAAATAGGTAGGGATGCGTATCTACACAAGCGCTTGTAGAAACTATATTAGGCCGGGTAGGTAGGAAATATGGTAGACCGAATAAGTAGGAAGAAATCAAAATGTCAAATTAGGATCAAGGCTGTTATGCAGCTTACAAGTCGCTAGAGTAACTGACGCGGGAGGAAAAGAGGGAAAAAAGGCGAAGGGTGTCACACACACCCATCCTGGTGTCACACACACACTCCATTTACTCAACTTTCTTACTTTTATCTCACACATTTGCATACACTCGAGCATAAAACATACACACAGCATAAAGCTTTAAATGAGCGTCATTCGTACTGCGGACAAACACATAACGCGCGCACACACTGTCAGTCGCTAACTCGCGCATTCAAAACTCACTCTAGGGTGACACACACACACACAGGAATAATGGCCTTTACACGTGAAAAAATTTTAGCCGTAACCAACCGTAAGGTCGTAAGCAATTTAACCAATTACAAACCAGTATTATCTTACATTAGTTAGAATGCTGACCAGCGATTGGTCGATTTGCTTACGACCTTGCGACTACGTCTAAATTTTTGCTACGTGCAATGGCCTTAAGGATCCAAACCATAGAGCTTATACTAATGGAGAGGCCATGCCTATATGCTAACCATAGAGAGAGTTGCGCGAGGAGCAACAGAGAGATAGATATATTCTGTCTCAACTGTGGCTCCCCCACTCCGTGCTCTCTGTTATTCTCTTCTATAAGAAGTGCCCGCAATTGAAACAGAAAAATATATATTAAAATATATATTTCAACTCAAAAAAAAAAAAACACTCGTAAAAATTTACAAGTAGAATTCGTTACATGTGTATGTATATATATACACGTACAGTTTCTACTCAAACATCCTGCGAATGGCTCGTAAGACCTTATATATATCTTGTTAGAAAAATATATCTCTCTTTGTCGATCCTCCTTGCGCTCCCATGGCCTCTCCGTGAGTATAAGCTCTATGATCCAAACGCACCGCATTCACAAGTCGCACACATACACACCCATCAGAGTTCATTCATATGTCATTCGCACACACAGTCACGCCGCAAACACACGCGCGCAACTGCGCTCGTTAAAAGTAACACTTTCAGTCCCATATGAAAAGGAGCTTAAAGCCTAGAGTTTTTTTCTAGGTTAAATGAGCCGGAGTGCTGCACAGGCTGCACTTCCTGGTCGGCGAGTTTAGAGAAAACGCGGGACGGGGCAATTAATCTCTAAAAACCATATATATAATACTTCTATATTGCTAGTACGGTGCCGACCTGAAGTCCAAATGTTACGGTGCAGACAATATAGTAGCTTCTCTCTCCAGCTGCTTTGTGCGCATGCGGTGAACATTCAAGCACGTTTGGGCATTTCTCTTTCTCGCGTTCTTTCCAATGCTTTGTCTCGCTCGCACTCGCTTAGTAGACGCGCCTGCGCATAATGACGCTCGACTACCTATGCCCATATTTGGACTTCGTGCGTCTCCCTTTCTCGGGCCTCGTGCTTCTCATTGCAAAGATACGCGACTAGCCACGGCTGCTAAAAACCCATCATTCGAGCTATCGAACGCATATAACCCTAAGAATCAACTCGTAATTTCCAAACAAGCTCTTAAACCTTCTAACTCACTTAATGCCACATGCCGCGTTGCATCTCGAACAATGCGGTGATGTGTCGCACCCTGTGGCCAGAACCAGCAGTTCTTCCCGGAACTGTTGTTGCCCTGCAATCTAATTCTAACCAGGTCATTGACAGTGATGGTTTGTCACATTGCTCAACAGCCTCATTCTACTTAACTTTACCTTCAAATTGCTGCGCAATTATATCTATTGGATTACTGTCTTCTCTTCAAAATTTCGCGGCGTACTTGTCGTACCTAACCTTTGCCAGAGATCAAATAACCGCTACTTATTATTGCGGATCGACCAAGTAAAAATCGATCGGTGTTTATTTGAAAGCATATAACATTTAACGTGTTATGTAATCACATAATGCATAGATTTTTTATCCTTTATATTGTTTTTATATATATTTGAATTAGTTTAAGTGTGTGTATATATAGAACTACAGCGGAATAATGTTCGTCTCAAGATCCTTGATGAAGAATAAGTCTGTTATTTTTCAGGTAATTTTTATTATATTTTTATATGCAAAAGACTTGCGTAATTACTCGATACATAATTATGCACGTCTTGATGTACATAATTATATATATATGTATATAAGGATGTATATACCCAGATAACCAAATTTGTCGAAACAGATTTTGCCAAATGCTTGTTACAAATTTTGTTAGCAAAAGACATCAAATATGATGCAGAGTTTGTTTTATCTGGCAATGTTGCAAAATTGCTAGCAAAAATATATCCAAGCTTGTTAACAAAACATAACAGCAAATTGCTGGCAAAAACCGAGCAAAGCTTGCACATAATTTGAGACCAAATTGACGCCAAAAATGAAGCAAGATCTGCGCAACACGACTTGATAGCAAAATAACAGCAAGACCCGAGCAAGACTTGCAGTTCAGTCAAACTATATGGTATTTAAAAGGCCATTTAATTATATCTTGACTTATTTCTAAATTGTATATATACACTATCTATAATCCATAATATATATAAAATTACTTTTACAGTTGAATATTTAACCTATTTCCCTATTACCAATAATTAAATATTAAAATGACATAATAAAATATTTTTTTAGCAAACTAACTATTAGAAAACCTATACGAGCAATGCTAGATGTACGCGCATTTTTTATGTATGTATAAATTTGTAAAGAATTATTGACATATATCTGAAATTTATTTCTACAATTTTTATAGATACATATATATATATATATATATATATATTCTTCATACATAATATATATAAAATTATGTTTACATTTGAATATTAAATTGACAATAATTATATAAATATTAAAATGACATAATATAATATTTAATTTTAAATAATTTTACAATATTTCTATATTATCAAATATATAATTTAGATTATGCATGTACACAATATTTATCGTTTATTAATACATAATTGAATTTTCTTAAACAGATATGAAAAGCGATTAAGTATTATGACCAAACTGCATTCTCCTAATAGAATCAATTAAAATTTTACTAATTGATTCAGTGATAATATCACTGATTTGCAGTGAAAAAAAAAATGCTTCTCTTAAAGTTAGGTGTCAGTAACAGATTAGTTTTACTAGGAAACAGTAAACTTCGCTGATTTACTTAGTAACAAATAGTTTTATTTAAAATTAGTAACAATATCACTGAATGCTATTAACATATTAGTTTTGAAGTAATTGATTGTGAAAGTTTCAATGGCTAAATTGGCAACAAAATCGAAGCCTAATGCGAACACAGTTGATGCCAATTTGCTGAGTATTTTTGCTTAAAATTGCTGACAATTTGCTGGCAAATTGCGAACAATATGTTTACTGGGTATAGATAACAACAAATTGCGGTAGAAAGTAACTTTTGTTATATACAAGTTGAGAAAAATTTAAACATATCCATTATTTCTCATCTATTCTAAATGGTTAATAATCGCGATATCTTTATATAAATTGAAAAGATAATATAAATTGTATGATAAGAGAGAGAGAAAAAACAACAGTTTTAATTACGTTGAAACAAGAATAAGTTGCAATTTTTAATTGTCATGTATCCTAGTATTGCATATTCAATGTTGCGCGGAAAGGACATCTCGCGAGATTGTTGTCAACCGATGGAATATTATCCGAGGAAAAATATCTAAAGACAACGGAGAAAAATGGGGTAAAGTTAACACACATTACTGTCATTAATCTAATATTTAAGCCTCTTGCGCAATGGAAGAAATAGCGATAGCGATAGAAATAACATCAGTTTTTAAGAGTTTATATTTATAAATAACGGTAGGAACAGCGGAATGTAACGTACAAAAATACACGTCTGTCAATGCGGATCAGAAAACGGAATAAGCAATAGCGATAAATTTTCCGACGAGTTGGAATTCTGTGTCTATTGCTTGTCGCTATCGCTATTTCCTCGCATTGTGCGAGAGGCTTTATATTTGAGAATCCAACATCTCTCGTTAGTTTCAGGAGATTTTATAGGTTTGTAATGATATTCATCTTACAATTAGTACTTGAGCGTTTTATCGCATTGGCTCTGATATTTTATTAGTTTCTATTTTCTCAATGAAATATTTAACGCGCTTAACATTGACTCGCACCTTTTATTAACCCTCGGAGAACACACTGGGTCAATTTGACCCTGTTCGTCGACTTTGATCAAAATATTTTGCTTCAATTTTGCTTTTTTGTAATATATTTTTTACAATGTTAATAATGTTAACGACACTTTAAAACTATATAGGCATATTCCAAACTGTTCAAAATATATCCAAAAATTTTTTCAAGCCAATCGGATAAGTGCATTTTAAATGGTAACATCTCAAAAAGTGGACAGGGTCAAATTGACCCAGATTGTTCTTCTTGATTGAAAAAATAGGTGTGTTCCCCGAGAGTTAAGTGCAATATCTGTTAGCTTCAATTTATTTTAGGTGAGAACTATTCGATTGAATAATTCTTTGTCGCGCAATGCGCTATCTCTGGAGATGCTGAAGACCCTGGTCAAAGAGATTAAGAGAGACGAGAATAATAAGGATTTTCGATCGATTGTAATAACATCGGAACCAGGGAAAGTGTTTTCCGCCGGACATGATTTAAAAGAATTGGTTTGTAAGAGGTCGTTCGCGCGTCGTCGTCATTCTCAATTTAATTGCGTAATTATTTCGAAAAACTTTGCGCAACTCAGACAGATACAAACACCAAACTGCACACGGAGATATTCGAAACCTGTTCGGAACTGATGCGAGTTATCATTCAATCTCCGGTACCAGTTATAGCAGCGGTAGATGGTTTAGCAGTCGCGGCCGGTTGTCAATTAGTTGCGGCGTGTGACATCGCTATATGCACGGAAAGAAGTTCGTTCTCTACACCAGGGTACTTCTCATAAAGAGCTCTTGTTTTATGATCTATCGTATTTATTTATATACAGAGTAGTAGCTGAGTACTCTAAAAGATTTTAAGAGATGATTTCTCACACTATATAATTCAAAACAAAAACTTTCTATAAAAAAAAACTTCGTTATGTTATTTGTAAGAAAAGAGTATTCGCTTATTCCTAGGTTTGTTCCTGATGTTTTTAAAAAAAAATGTTCCAAAAGATGAGCTTTCTGTGTTCTTCGAATATACACGTTTTGTTAAAATAACTTGAGTAATTATCGAAATTTTTGAAAAACAAAACCGAAATTTTTTCTTCGACTTTAACAACTTATATCTTTGAAGCTAAGTCGTTTTTTCAACTGTGTCTCTCAGAGCAAATGTTGGAATATTCTGCTCAACACCTGGTATACCATTGGTGCGTAACGTTCCAAGGAAGACCGCGATGTATATGTTGTTCACGGGATTTCCTATTTCCGGCAGAGAAGCTTACGAGTGCGGTCTTGTTAGCAAAGTCGTGCCAAATAATAAACTCGGTGATAAAAAAAAATATATATATATATATAAATATATAATATAGAGAACGTATATACACAATAAATTTTGCATTTAGACGAATCTCTTATTGTACGTAATATTGATTTTAGACGAGGAAACCAGTCGAATTACAAATGCAATCAATACAAAGAGTCGTTCAGTCATACACATTGGCAAAATGTTCTTGTATGAACAAATAGATCTCGATATATTGACGGCTTATTTTCGGGGCGCTGAAACAATGGTGAAGAATCTGAAAATGAGAGATACGCAGGAGGGAATACGAAGCTTCTTAGAAAAGAAGAAGGCTATTTGGACGCATAACTACGAGAACAACTGATAAAATTGGAAATTTCTTTTTATTTAAAAGGAAAAGAATCAAAGAGAACCTACGGCTCTCCAAGCTGGCGGTGGACAATCAAACAATTTATAACGCATTGTATTCTGAATTGTTTTCTCTTTTTGTATGACGTTTAAGACGTATAAGATTACAACATTTCAAATGTTTTTATCAAGCGTATTGATTTTGTCACGTAACAAAAGCATGAATATTGCCTTCCATTCTTTCGGTGCAAACTTGTATCTTTTAATATATGTATTCCGATAATGTTTTGTTCCCGTTTGCGAGACATCTCCATTTGTGGTCTCCGTTTCAGTCTGGTAAAAGATAACACTGAGACGGCAATGCCTTATCTATTTAGCGGATTATTTAACAATTTAATGCGCTTCTCGTGCACTTTTATTCATGTATTCTTAAAATATATATATCGCGTGGGAGCGTTTGTAGAGTATTTCGCAAGATAAAAAGTTCTTGTTGAGAAATATTTTTTTTCAAAGTGTTATTGAGATTTTTAATTTTTTTTTATTATTGCGATAAACATCGGATTACAACACTGGGTCAATACGCGTAGCAGAAGCAGATACATCAGTGTGTTCTCGGGATCGGAAGACGGTGATAAGGCTGATCCGCGGTGGTCGGTCAACGTCAGAACGAAGGTCTCGAAGGCCGTCTGATATGCCGCTGTTTTTATTTGTGTTATATGACGGATAAAAAGAGTATACTTTGCTCTTCGTCTGTGTGTTTGTCTATCATTATCTTCCTCTTTTTTTCCTCCCGACCGAGCTCATAAATAAGCCTGTTATTGTGTCGACGACCAGTATCACTCTCTCGCTTGTAGCCTTTGCGCGATTTAAGAGAAGTATATGACGAATTGTCGATCGCGTACAAAGCGGAAGTTGATCTCTCATGTGTTTACAATAAGGGCTGAAGTTTTCTTTAATTGATGAATCTTCTTGACGACTGCATGAGGTTTGAGACGTTCCGGACAACTCGAAGTACAGAACGAGATAGGCGAGAAGAGAACGCAGTGAAGACAATCTTGACGATACAGAAACAATTCACTAAAAAGCAGTTTGCAGAATTGCTTTTGGAGAGCTGCATCGGTTAGTTGGATTCAGCGACCAACACACGCACACACACAATTAATTTAAATAAACTTTTGAAAAAAAGGAGAAATACTGTGCTCCTTAAGAATAAGATTTTTATACACTTAAGAAATATGTAAATTCACACATAAACTATAAATTTATATATTTATAAACGTTAGCTCTTTAATATAGCTTTATTTTGGCGTGTTCTGTAATATAAGACTTTTCTTTTTTCTATTGAACTATATAATGTTAAAAGCGAGAAATCATGTAAATTTTTTGAATCTAGTTTATATCGCGAAATTAATTTGTTTTTTTCTTTTTTTTATATTTCTATATTTGGATGTATATGTAATTTTATATTAAGAGTGTCAATGTCGCAATTGTAAAATCCTGGTTTAGTAATCTGAAATAATATGTAGTAATGTTTAGTAAACGAAACCATGAAGTGCATTAACGATGTTATAATAGCGGCGTAGTAAACGCATGCTTTCACTTATCACTGCAAATAAAGGTCAAAGAAGTGTGAAACAAAATGCAATCATATGTACGAGTAAATTGTAAACAGCGTTATAAAATTTAATCGTCACACACTCTCGATTTCAATAATAATGTCTTTCCACGTGAAATAGTGTTATCAATACATTTTGTATTGGTAATGTCAACTTCACGTGTAAAGCTACTTAAGATATCTACTGTATAAATATATACATGTATGTTAGGTTATACATGTACAATATATACATACATGTCTGCAAAAGATGTATATATATACATACATGTCTCTCACACCTTGTCTCTTATTTTGATTTCTTTCAATTAATTGACTTTTTCCCCTTCGATATTAAGATTCTGTTATGTTAAATGTAATAAATTTGAACTTAAATTTTTAGTAAAGAAGTGTGTCGTCCTCTCGTCTAACAATTTTGATAAAATAATCAAGTACGCGCGCATATATGGCGATGTATAAAATACTTCGAATCTTTATGTTACTTGACTTTCTGTTCTCTCTGATAAAAAGATATGTGGCAATTCTTGTTTGTTTGACATATTTTCAATACTAAGAATAGCTCGTACAAATTTGTATAATTTTGAAACTTAATTTAAAAATTTGTATATTTATAATATAGTGCTTTTCTCTCGCATAGATTGTGCCAGAATGGCTGCCATACCGCAGAGTGCTTTTGCAGCGTGCAAACTTCGTAGGTCCGACGAATACACGATTTCTACGATGTCTGCAACGGAGGATAAAGGGAAAACTAAGAAGGAAAATATATTTAACGGAAGATCTTTTGTAGAAGGTATGATATACAATTAATGGCCTTGTTTAGCAGAATCTCATCGTTATAGTCGTACTTTTCAACTAAAGTTTTTGCTGACTGCACACTCTTCTGCTTCTGCACACTCTTGAGCAGAAAATTATCAAACGGTCGCGTTCTCTATTGAATGTTTTATATTTTATAACATATAATAGAGAAATAGTTATAGAGTAACACGCTTTTAATTTAGAGCCGCGTCATTGTGGATTATGTGAGATTCAATTTTTAATTTGACAAATATTTATATTTAGGCTGGGAACTGACGCCGCTGAAGTATAATAGCAAACTCATGAACAGCATTTGGGGTCTTTATAATCGTTATTCAGTGCACAACTTTAAGAAGAACACTGATGCCGAGGCAGGAGCTCGCGGTGGGGTGGTTGCAGCAGTCTGGGATGCAATTTTGGAAAATCACTCCCCGGCCGCTAATGCTACCGTCACTTCGAAGTAGTTACAAAGGTTTACATAATAAGATCCAAGAAGTGGCTTTCAAATATTATAAAAGTGCTTAAAGATAATAATCGACAATAAGCAATGATGTTTTGCATAATTACAGCGTAATATAATATATAAACATATATATTCAAACATACATAACGTGCGTATTATTTGAAAACAGACAACATATGTTAAAAACATGTAAAAATTTATATTTTATAAATATATGTATATATTTGTGTATAATAGGACTTCCGTTTCCGACAGCGTATAGTTGAGTCGTGAGTTATATAGCGGAGATTTAGAGTTGATTTGTGAGTGAGCCAAGGTGTGTTAGTGTGGTACGTGTGAGAGCGAGGAAGAGGGTGAAGAGAGAGGAGTGAAGTGGAGTGTAGGTGGAGGCGGGGGCGTGAAGGTAAAAGGGGTGAAATAGAATCATAGACTTATATAATAGACGGAACATTTATATGACGAAGTTGAGAACAACATTAAAGGACAGAGATAGTGCTGGAGTAATTGTTTTTCTCTCTTACAATAAGATGGTGGGGGACCAATCATCTCACAAGTCTATGCTATCGCCTTTCACTATCACTTTTTCTCAATTGACTCTCGAACTCTATCTTCGTTGCTCTCGGTCTGCCGCGGCCACCAATCAACTCACTGCTAGAAAAGAAGAGAATTACTCTACGACTATTTCTGTCTCTTTTAACGAAGCTTCAGCTTCTCTTACACGAATGTTCCATCTATTATATAAGTCTATGAATAGAATACGGTAGGTCGAGGTTAGGGTAGAGAAGAAAGAGTTAAGAAAGAGTAGAGAGAGCGGAGAGTGCAGAAGATGTAGGAGAAGAGAGGGAATAGGGAATCTAGGGACTTTGGAGCTTGAGATAAAGGCGGGTTCTCAAGGTACTGGCGAGGAAGCATAATGGAAGAGAAAGAAGGAAAAGGAGAAAGTAGAGTGGTGAAAGTGAAGGGATTGGAGAAAGGGAGAAGGGAGAGAACAAAAAGCGAAAATGCTTTGATGGAAATGTGGGTGAAGAGAAAAAGAGACGAGGATAAAGGGGAAGAGGAAAGGGAGGAAGATTGGGTCTTTAAGAGGAGCAGAAAAATAGTAAGATCGCCGGTTAAGGAGAAGGAGAAGGAAGGGAGAGGTGAAGATGCAGGAGGGAATGCAGTGAGGGAAAAAATGGAGAAAGAAAGAAAAGAAGGGATATGGAAAGAATTAGACAAGATAAGGAAAGATGTCTGGGTCTTTTGTGAGATGTCTCACGAAAGATGAGGAGGGAAAGAGGAGGTTGAGGGATAAAAGAGTAAATAGAGGGAAGGTTGTTGTTGGAGAGGTTAGAGGAGTTAGGATGGGTAATATGGAATGGAGACATAAAAGGGGACGAGGAAGGGGAATGAACTTACGTGGGAGGACGAGGGTAAATCCGTAATAAATTATGTATTAGGGGAAGCAGGAACGAGAGAATATGTAGAGAAGATGAGAGTAGAGGATTGAGTGGATTCGGACCACCAACCTGTAGTGGTATGAATTAAAGAAAAGGAAAAAATAAGAGAGAGGAAGGGTGGAAAAGATGGTGGAAAAAAGAAATTAGGGAGGATAGTTTGGTCGGAAAAAGAGAAGAAGAAATGGATAGAAGAAATGAAAAAGGAAATGGGATATGAAGAATGTGGGATAGAGGAAATGTGGGAAGATATGAGAAAGAAAATAAGGAAGGTATTGGGAGGGGGGAGATCGTGGAAACAGGGGATAGAAGGAGAGGGTGGTGGGATGAAGAGTGCAAAGAGGAAAAAAAGAAGGTAAGGAGAGAATTAAGAAAATAGAGAGAAGGAAAAGAATGTAAAAAGATTTACAAAGCAAGGAAAAAGGAGTATAGAATACTGTGTGAAAGGAAGAGAGAGGAGAAGAACCGGGAGTGGGAAGAAATAGTAAAGAAAGCAAGGACGATGGGACAAGTGTGGGAGGTGGTCAATAGAGAAAGAAGAAAAAAAAGGGGTAAGGGTAGCGATATAGAGTTAAAAGAGTGCGAAGAATATTTTAAGAAACAGCTGGGGGAGTGGACTGAAAGGTGGTGAGAGGGGAAAGAAAGAGAGGGAAGAACGAAGAAGAGGATATAAAAAGAGAGGAAGTTGTAAAGGCGATTAGGAAGATGAAAGAGGGAAAGGCGGCGGGGGGAGATGGAATTTTGGCGGAAGTATGGAAGCATGGAGGAGAAAAAATGACGAACTAGGTGTGGGATATATGTAAAAAGATTTGGAGAGGGGAAGGGTAGATCGATGAGTGGAGTGTAGGAATTGTGGTGCCAGTGTTGAAAAAAGGAGAAGAGAATAAGGTAGAGGACTATAGGGGAGTTACGTTGGCCGGGACGCTATATAAGATTTATGCAGAGTTATTAGCGGAAAAGTTAAGAGAGGAGGTGGAGGAGAAGGGATTGATGCCGGATAATCAGGCAGGATTCAGGAGGGAGAGAGGGACTATGGACAATATTTATGTAAATTATCTGGCAGAAAGGAATATAAGTAGGAAAAGAGGTAAATTGGTTGCACTGTATGTCGATTTGAGGGCGGCCTTTGATACAGTGGACAGACGCTGCTAAAGAAGATGAGGGTAAGAGGGGTTAGAGAGGGTTTGGTGAGAAGATGCGGATAATTGTACAGGGAAACTAGGAATAGGGTGAGGGTGGGGGAAGAGGTAGGAAGGGAATTTTGGACAGGGAGGGGAGTGAGGCAAGGATGTTCACTGAGCCCGTACCTGTTTAACATGATGACGGCGGATATGGAGGAGTATTTGGGTAGGTTTGGGCGGGGAGGGATGAAGGTAAGAGGTAGGAAGATTTACTCTATGGCATACGCAGATGATGTGGTGCTATTGGCTGATGAGGAGGACGGGATGAGAGGGATGATAAGAGGACTGGAAAAGTATCTGAAAGGGAAAGGCTTGGAATTAAACGTAGGGAAATCAAAGGTGATGAGATTTAAAAGAGGAGAAGGGAGAGAGAAAAAGATGGAATAGTGGTGAAAAGGAGAGAGATTTGAGGAGGTAAAGGAATTTAAATATTTGGGATGTGTTTCAGAGAAATGGAGGGAGGGAGGCACATGTGAAAGAAAGAGGGAGAAAAGGAGCGGCAATAATGGGCCAGATATGGGGGATGTGTACTATAACAAGAGAGAAAGACATGACATAATTAACAATAATAATATTTTTTCAATCTCCGAAAATTTTGGTGTAGAATTCTTCTTTGTAAATTTGATAACCTAAACCATTAATTTTATTAAGTATTATGCCATATAAACTTAAAATAGAAGCAAAGAATATACGAATATATATTCTTTAATTGAAGGTTATGGCCTCTCATTGAAGACCATTATTTATTTCTTATTATAAATCTCCATTATTAATTAGGAAAATCTATAATCTCTGGTTTGGTTTGGTGCAAAAATGGTTCAGTGGACCGAAAGTCTATAATCTCTATTTAGTCATGAAACACCGAATTTCATGATTGGTCACTACATTGAAATTTGAGGTTGGAGATTCGAGACCTGAGAGCTGAAATTTGAGATTGGAAACGAGATCTAAGATTTGAGAAGCGACTATGTGAATTCGGGCCTCAAAAGATAATGTGTAATCACTTTTACCGCCTGGTAAACTAGCGCATGTCCACGAATGGTGCATATTGGAACTACGAGCACATAGCACAGAATAGAACCGCACGCTGTGGACATAGCGCACCGACATGCTCGTGGACATGGCTGCGTAGTTCCAATATGCACCACCCGTGGACATGCGCTAGTTTACCAGACGGAAAAGTGATTACACATTATCTTATGAGCCTGACCGCTCTCAGGCTTCTTTCTGGTTAAAGAAATTACACAATTACAGCGTATCGTGTGTACGTATATATATATACGTTTACGATACTATATACATAGATGCATTCGCTTTGAGCGTCAGTTTACCTTTGTTCCACATTTAAAGAGCGGCGAAGACGGATTGACGCTTTAAAGCGCATAAGCGTTCCAAAGCGAACGCATTCTGCAACAGATGACTTACTGACTCGCTGTCAGCAGCTGTCAGTGAATACGACAAGTTCAACTCTCATCTAGGTCGGCATTGTTGTGTGGTGTTACGGATGTATTGGAGAGAGTGGAAGAAACACGCAGTTTTAATGTCCAGAACGGTAGTGAGTCATCGCGTGGAAGTGTGAGATATCACAGAGCAGGGAACACGCTTCGCGAGAACAACGGCGACTACGATAGGCATCATGGAAATACTAGATCCAAGTGTCTCCAGAGATGATCAACCTCTCTGTATCAACGATTCCTTGGAACGAGGTTTGTCCATCTGATTTCCAAAGCAAACATTTGTATTCCTGTATACTTATTTCTCGCGTAATTATACATGTAATTGTTTTCCTGGAAATAACAACGTCTGTTTTGTTAAAGCGTGACGTATTACGCTGGAAACAAAGGATTAAAAGGAAACATATTAGTAGAAGTTACAGAAGTTAGAATAGTTCAATATTGCTATGGCGCATCAATATATGTGTATAACATTGCAATATTCAATATTGCAATGTTAATATTCAATAGTCTAACAAATCAAATACGTAATTAATAATTTTTTAAATTGATAGTGAGAATTAAAGATAATCTTGTACGAGACTAAAATACAGTTAAGAAAAACAAATTAAAACAGTTTAGAAAGAAAAGACTTTTTTTCTATTTAATAATATTATAAAAAATATTGAAATATTATGTCAGATCAGTAAACACTTTTTGAAGGAAATAAATTATCATCCAGACAATATGCTATCTCTTATGTCACACGTACGCAATGATAAAGAAGCTTTTGAAACGTACATTTTTCATCGATATAAATTTTTTTACAGATAAAATATATTTCTTTTAAATTTCTCATAAATTTCCTTTAGAATAATCTGCACAAAATATTGTTTGGAGTCTTGGTATTAATTTTTTTTGGCTGTAAAAAATGCTCACAGTATGATATTTTGTGTTCTTTTAGTTAATACATCCCAGACTCCAGTGGATACAAGATCATGCGTAAAAGCACGTTATACATTGGGTTTTCTCGGTTTTCTTGGCTTTGCTCTTGTGTACGCTATGAGAGTCAATTTATCAGTTGCTATTGTCTCCATGGTTAATCAAACAGCAATACCACATACTGAAGACAATGATACTAGTGATGTTTGTCCTAAAACTACGCCCGTAAATGGAACTTTTATACCGGTTTGTGTGTTTGTTTCTTTCTCAAATATTTAGCGCTTTATGTATTATCTTACTTTTATATACACAATATTTTTTATTTGAATAATTTATAAATAAAATTATGACTTTTTGATTATATTATGGGTTTTTTTTTATCAATTCGAAATAAATATTATTTATATCTTTGATAGATTGACTTTGATATTTATTTCAGAGTGCGGGAGAATTTGTTTGGGATGAGAAGACTCAGGGTATTATATTAGGTGCTTTTTTTCTTGGCTATGTAACCACAAATGTCCCTGGTGGTAGAATGGCTGAAAAAATGGGTGGAAAATTAATTTATGGTCTGGGAGTGTTTCTGACTGCAGTTCTGACGGTGATAAGTCCTTTTGCTGCTTATTGGGGCTTGATACCATTCCTAGTTGTACGAGTTGCAGAGGGATTTACCGAGGTAAATATGTCCTTTAAAGAATTATATAATTGTGTGTGTGTGTGTGTGTGTTTCTCTCTCTAAAATTAATTTATTAAAATAAAATAATTTTAAATTTAATTAAAATATCTGTAAAAGATTGTAGAGAAAATATTTGTGGGAAGATTTTGTCTAGAACAAAATAACTTTTATATGTGTACATATAAAAATGCGTGTATATATATACATATATATGAGTAACAGATTTTGGATCTTATATAGGGAGTAACTTTTCCTGCGATGCATAGTATGTTAGCGCATTGGGTACCTCCCTTAGAGAGAAGTAAATTTGCTGCTCTAGTATACGCAGGTAATTTCTCTATTTTCCGATAGAAGACAAAGCAAACACTTGAAAATACTTCGTATACTTTTCTAAGGTTCTAATTTCGGGACTGTCATCTCACTACCGGTTAGCGGTTGGCTATGTTCTTTGGAGTTATGGGGTGGTTGGCCGCTTGCATTTTATTTGTTCGGAAGTCTTGGTATTGTATGGTATGCATTCTGGTTGATATTTATATACGATACTCCTGCAAAACATGCAAGAATCGATCCTTCTGAAAAAGCGTATATCGAAGCTAGTGTTGAGAAAAAAGACGAGGTCAGTATTAAATGTATTAACGTGATTTAATATTTCTTTATATATATGTGTGCGTGTGTAAACTGTTTTACACACTCACACAGATATATATACATGTATAATTCCATATTTGGAACGTAACATTTTATTTTATTTTAGCAACTCGGATATTATATAAAACGAAATATGAATATTTGTTTAAATATTCTAATAAAAAAAAATAAAAATCCTATGTTTGCTGTTCGAAATCAGAAAGCGCTTTTATTATTGATATCGAATAAAATATTGAATTTATTATAGAACGCAATGTAAACATTTGTGCAAAGATGTGGTTTGGCTCAATGATAAGCAAATCATTCTGACGGTAGAATGATGATCCGGATGTACCTTGGCTGTCCGTCTTCACATCTCTACCCATATGGGCAATCACTATTACACAATGCGGACAATCCTGGGCCTTCTATACTCTTCTGACTGAACTGCCAACGTACATGGACAAAATATTACATCTGAACGTACAACAGAATGCATTTCTCTCGGCGTTGCCTTATCTGAGCGCCTGGTTAGTGGGGCTTTGTATCTCGAGCTTCGCGGACGCGCTTCTCGCTCGTCGTCTTATTTCACCCTTAGCCTCCTTCAAACTTTGGAACACAGTAGCTTCATTGGGGCCCAGTCTTAGTTTCCTCGGCGCTATCTGGGCGGAATGCGATCGCATGACCGTGATGTTGATGCTTGCTGGACTAGGCTCTCTTCAGGGTGCGGTATATGCCGGGAATCAGATGAATCATATTGCGCTGGCGCCACGATTTGCGGGTACTTTGTACGGATTGACGAATGCCGCGTCGAATGCGTGCGGTTTCTTGGCACCATTCGTTATTGGCAGAATAGTACAAGGACACGTTAGTATATAATTGTTGCATTTTGTTAATTTTTTTTAAAGCTTTAGAAATATAAAATGAATGGGTTTCTCCTTGGGTTGTAGGAAACTTTGGCACGTTGGCACACAGTTTTCTGGATGGCAGCGGGAATAAACATAGCTACCAATTGCTTTTACCTGATGTTTGCATCAGCTACTGAGCAACCATGGAGCAAAGGTAGCAGTTGATGACAATGTCACATTAGAGGTGTGATATTAAACGTGGAAAATAATATATTCTTTAACCGTGTTGCACACAGTACGTTTTAATTCAGTTGAACTTTATATTTTGGTAAACAACAGACATAGTGCTAATCGTTTCTAAGATAATTCAAATATTCCGAAAACACTTTTTTTTTCTAAATTATTTATCTAGTCTAATTATTTTTCATTTTTTCCGTACAATGACAAATGAATTAAATGTAAAGACAAATGGATCTGGTATTATCAATTTGTGATACGTGATACATAAAAGCGCGATACATAAGCGGTGCTGTATGGGTTCTGTTTTGGACGATTGGAATTGATTAATATACACTGTTTTATTTTCGTTTTATCTTACAAAATTTCAACGATCCAGCTACACACTACATCTGTGATGTGTGAAAACCAATTTGCAATCCGAGACAAATTTAGATATTGATAAACAGCAGAGTGTTCCATATAACATCAAAAGATAAAAGAATATAAAACTAAAATATATACATATAAAATATTACTAATTATGGAACACATCTGATGTAAAATTGCATTTACTTTTGTATATACATTTATATAAAATGTTCTATTTATTGCGAACATTTGAACACACATACTAATACAAACAGCAGACCACAATTGTAATATTTAATGTATCTCTTATTTAAAAGTTGCTAATTTTATTTTATTTTATATGTAAAATTATATAAATGATTGTAATAGAGAAAAACAAGTATTTGGAAATATAATGATTAGTACATACAAGATGTAAATGTTATTACAAAAAAACAATTATAAATTTTTTATTTGTATTAGTTTAGAAAGATATGTTGTTATTTCTAAATATTTTAACATTAATTTATTGTTAAAAAAAAAAACAATTTATATATATAATGCCGAAACAAATTGGATAGCTCTGTAATAAATAAATATTTGTTGAGAAACAATTTGTTTAGATTCTATATGATGTAACTAAAACTTTTAGTTACATCGTATAGAATGTTCACTCACACACACACATGCATATACATACAAATCCTGATAGTTAATTACGTAAAGTAATATACATTGGAACAAATCTTAAAAACAACAAAATCATAGAACAAATTTTGTAGATAAAAATAAGAGATATTCATACAATTCAAATTTAAGTCGAACTTTATCGAAACACAAGTAAGCAAATAGAAATGATTAATATCGTAATTTATATATATTACAACAAAAATGTGGAATATTGCGTTTATCATATACATCTAATCTAAATGTTAATAGTATTACAAAAATTTATGTAACAATATATATATATGCAAAATATTGTTACTTTTTAGTAATTTACAATAAATGTTTGTCATACACAAATATATATACACGCGTACGCGAGTATATGTAAATAAATTATGTAAAAATTACTTTTTGTTTATTTTAATTACATGTAATGATAAATAAATTTTGATGTTGAAACATATTTTATATGCCAATCTTTATAGTTAATTTTGGTAAAAATCATATTAAAAAAGATTTTAATTTTTATATCTAATATTTATGAAAAACTCGAGAAACGTCTCTGATATATAAAGGTATGTTTAAATAAAAGTTTTTATTTTCCTTAATGAAGAATAAGAAACTCTGTTTTGTAAACAAGCAATAAAAAAGAATTTAAATAAAACATTCCAAATCTAATGTTAAATGTTTATTGTGACTAGTTTTTTTACGTTTTTTCATAAAAATTTACAAAAGAGATTTTTGTTTTCTAAGGCCATCGCATACAAATTGCCGCATTGTAACGTAAATATATACGGTAAGAATTGATCAATTACGATCGTCTCCATTCAAAAATAGCAGCCTTATTATTCGAAAATTCTTAAAGCTCCTTGCACAATGAGAAAAAATAGCGATGGCGATAGACATCAGACACAGGATTCCAACTCGTCGGAAATTTTATTGCTCATTCCGTTTTTTGATTGGCATTGATACATGTGTGTTTCCAAATGTTAGATTCCGCTGTTTCTACCGTTTTTTATAAATATAAACCCTTTAAAACCTAATGTAATTTCTATCGCCCTATCGGTATTCCTTCGCATTGTGCAAAGGGCTTAATAAAATTGGCTAATTCTTACGGTCTTGTGTTACGGCCACGGCAATTTGTGTGTGAAGACTTTCATATGTGTAAAAAATTATATTAATGAGTAAATTAAATATAACCAAACTTTTTCTAAAAAGATTAAGTTATGTTTGGCATCGTTATAATACCTGGTTGAATGTATAAGATTGACATTGACACATATACTATTATTATCTGAGATCCTTTTGCATCCTGTTGCAAACGATTTAATTCCACGGGTTGAAGAAATGTTGGAGAGTCGTCTTTTCTAAAAATTTAGTTAAAAATTACTGAAATGTTAATATGACATCGACATACGTACTAAAAAGAGAGAAGTATACTTTGAAATAAAAAAAAAAAAAAAAGTACCTTATTATTACCAGACTGTACAATGGTTGACCAGGATTGGATTTTTTATAATGAGCACAAGAGTACACATTGTACGATATTTTATATTTGTTCTTTTTTCTTCTCACTGTTCTCTCAGGTGCTGATTTGATTATAGCAAGTTTATTGAAAATCTCAGTTAGTGAAGAGGCACTTCTTGAACTGACCAACGGATCGCTACGTTTCACAATTTGCACTTCATTGCACTCTTCATTTCCAATTGTATGATCTTCATCGTCAATAGTAATAGTTTTCTCTTCAGACCATCTTTTCTTCAACTCAGTCCATGAATTAGTTCCTGGACAAGTAATAAAAGAAGGTCGATTAACGATCTCTTGACTGGCTTGACTATTTCTATTAAAGTTGGTCCATTGTCCTCTCGGAAGAAGATGCGTATTGCCTGGTATGTTTTCCATCATTCTTCGCTGAAAGAATCTCTGCTGCCACAAAAAATTCTGATAAAAAATGTGTCGGAATTGATTCTCCGCGAAGAAATGTCTCATTCGAGAAGGAAATCTCTCCATAATCGGTGTCGTGAAGTTATTCATTTGTATAGTAAGTCTTCTACTTTGCTGAAGAGCATTCACCTGATTTCCAAAGGCAATGAATATATTGTCTTGCACACAGATATTTGTGCCATAATTGAAAGGGAATCTGTACAAGTAAGGCAAGTCGAAGCTTGTGCTTTGGACTTGATTGACAGGAAAAAGCTGCCGGGATGGATTATATAAGGATAACTGTTGATTTGGGAAAGGATCGCTTCTGTTATTAATAGGATTTCTATATTGAGATACATTTTGTCTCGCATTGTTTCTAATATTTTTGCAATTCCGTCGAACTTGTTGATCGACTTCTTGCATGTGTTTTATTTTTGTTCTACTGTAGTGATAAATAGTCTTTTGAGGCTTTATATTATGTGGTATATATCGTTTCAAAATTTTCCCCGTAATATCAGATTTAAAAGCGATATTTGGTAGCAAATTTAACATTTCCATTCTTGTCATAGAACGTGGCAATTCCTGAATCTCATCATCAGAAAGATCAATTACCTGAATAAAAAAACAAAAATTATATATAATTCGTGAATTTAACACAAATTGTAATTTATGTGCGCAATGTTTACAGAATTTGTAGATATATAATTTATTTAGATCCTTACTTCATGTTTCAATTTCTTTGATGATTCGCTTATTTGTATCAATGATTTTCGTTTCTCTCCGTATTTGCGATTTTCGTCGAAATTGATTATAGAAATTTCAGGAGATGATACTTTGTCAGTTCTTTTTGGTAATTGTTTAACATTGCGCTGGATCCGTACACCAGGCCATTTCACTGTTTGAGGAGGTGTTACACTTGAATTACATGTTTTAGTTTTCAAAATTTTAATATCATCTAGCAAAGTCTCATCGGAAATAATTTCAGGTTTCGAATTACGAATCTTTTCCACCTTATTTACGCTACCTTGTGGTGTATTGTTTCCTAGTTTCTTAGAAATATCAAAGTTAGTTTTTTTATCTTCTACACTATCTAAAAGATTATTCATTACATCATGTACTATTTGTTCAACAGGCTCTTCTACTGCAACATTTTGCTGATTTTTTGTACAAGGACTAACAACATGTGTATCTATTATATTCTTTGGCGTTTCCTTCGATTTTTCTGTAGTTTGTTTAATCTGCGATTGATTATCGCATATTCTAAGTCCATTTTCAGGATTAACAATCATTTTTCGTTTGGAAACAGGTTCATCTAGCTTGTATTTTTCTAATTCTTCATAGAGATAACGCTTAATATGATAGCCATAACGTGATAATTGACTATATACTCTGTATTCTTCCAATGTACATACTGAGTCATCAATAAGAATTGCATAAGCTTGTTGAATTGAGCATGGAAATTTATTCCACAGAAGTTCAAGGCAATTCTATAATGTGTGTATATATAAATTAAAGTTATATTAAATAAAATATAAAATTATATTGACATTTTAGCTTTACTAAGCTTTTAAAACACATATATGTAAAATATATGTAAAACCATAGTAATCTTAAAAAATACATACTGTTTCTAGTAAAAATAATGCTTCTTCTGGTAATAAATATAAAACACCATTTTTTTCCACACCAAAACTGCTCCAGTCCAATCCAGATCTTTTAGTAACAAAAGCTTTTTTTTCAGCTGCTATCCATTCAGCAATAGCTAATTCTGAAGCACGTTCAACTCTTTCAATACTTAATAAGTCTCTTCGATTTAAAAGTCCCTTTTCTATCTGAACATTTTGAAGCCAAGAATTATTGGGTTCGTAATGCTTCATTTCATTTTTTGGTAATATACTCAATGATCTTTTTACATTTTCCACGATGCAACATGTGATACCTTTGTTTTCAAATAATGCTTCTGCCCTATTTATATATAAAGAGCATCAAAGTTAATTACATATGTAAAAGATACATTTTGATTACAATAATTAAGCAATCTTCGTACGAATTACCAGCACATTAAACAAGCGGGACAAAACTTACGTTAGCACGTTGCAAGGTAATTTTTCACATATTTCTTCCATGACAACGGTATATCAGGTCTGGCTTTTTTATAATTTTCGTGAATAAGCCTGAAACAGATGTGAAAAGGTGTAATCCTGGGCAAGAGGAATTAGGCGCGAATGGCCGAGCCGAGGGTAAAGGGGATAAAGAGCATGGCTTTCTATCTAGACGCCAGTAGCGCCAACTAACGCTTACTAACTATAACCAGAGAGAAGAATGAGAGCGGCCACGGCCATAAGAGTAGTACGCTTCTCGCGGCTGGCAGTGGTAGCTATAGCTATAGCTATGGCAAAAGAAAGAGAGCGGTTATATATGTTCGTCTCTTTCTACTGCTCGAAGTTGGCCGAAGCCATAGAGCTTATAACTAATGGAGAGGTCATGCCTATATGCTAACCATAGAGAGGGACACGCGAGGAGCAACAGAGAGATAGATATATTTTGTCTCAAATGTGGCTCCCTCACTCCGTGTTTTCTGTTATTGGGTGCGTTCAGACAACTCAACAGTTGCGCAACGGTTGAGAGATAATCACTTCTGATTGGATCATACTTTTGAACCGCAGCAGATTTTGAAAAATAGTCCTATCATAAGTGATGATCTCTCAACAGTCGAGTTGTCTGAACGCACCCATTCTCTTCTATAAGAAGTGCCCACAATTGAAACAGAAAAATATATCTCTCTTTGTCGATCCTTGCGCTCCCATGGCCTCTCCATGAGTATAAACTCTATGGCCGAGCGCACACATACACGAGTATTCGCCTGTATGAGCATCACCTCCACTTGCTGTTACATGCTGCAAGCGTCTCAAACATCTGAATCTAGCTGGAATTATGAAGCTAGTAAGGTATGTAAATTATATCGAAAAGTTTTTAACTAAATAACGTGTATTAATGTTACCGCAAATGTTCATGCACGTAATGTTTTGTCTGTGAAAAGTAGAACTGCTTTTTTCACGCGATCTAACCTCTACGCCGCTTTGTATATAAACGTGTACTCGAAACGTCCTTCAAAGTGACGTTAAATATTCTATAAAAGAAATGTTGTATATAAATAGTTCTTGAATATTAATTATATTAATAATTGATGTTTTGTTTTGTTTTTGCAGATTTTTGATGAAACTCAGTCATGAGACTGTAACGATAGAGTTGAAAAATGGCACTCAAGTCACCGGTACAATTACAGGTACTAACAAAATTTATTATATAAAAATGTAATGTTAGGTTAAGTTGAAATTTGTATGAAAGACACACGTTACTTATATATTAACTCTTAAAATTTTATAAGGAGTTTTTTCATGTCCCGGATTTTTCATTTTTTTTGCGCTATGTTACACAGGTGTGGATGTAGCGATGAATACACACCTCAAAACAGTTAAAATGACTATAAAAAATCGAGACCCTGTGATGTTGGAAACTCTGAGCCTTCGCGGAAACAACATCAGATACTACATTCTACCTGATTCTCTTGCTTTAGAAACGTTATTGATAGACGACACACCAAAGGCTAAGGCTAAGAAGAAGGAAGCTGCGAGAGGTTTGATTCTTTCACTTCAATATATATTAAAGTAACATGAAATATTAAGGTAATGGTTTTTGAGACGATTATCTATTGTATATTGTTTGCAGGTGCCGCACGCGGTAGAGGACGTGGCGCTAGAGGTGGTAGAGGTGGAAGAGGTGGACGAGGCAGAGGAAGAAGCAGACGATAGTAAACATGTTACGCGTACGAATCTTGAACCTGACATTTATATAAGTCACAGTTTATATAAGTTCACAATTTTTTCTTTATGCAGAAATGAGGTCACTCATTTTATATAAGAATTCCATTATATTATAATTTCCTGTTAAATTTCAAAATGAAAATTTTGACGATCTTTATTCACACTTAGAAAATATGATATAAATTTTTAAGCAAGCATTCCGATATATTTAATCTTGTATTATTTATTTCGTCTCATTTTCGCTTAGAGAAAAGGAGAGAGAAAGAGATGGAGATAAAACTCTTGCGAAAAGTGCGGTTTTATATTCAATAAATTGTCAGTAATTTGCTGTTACAAAAAAGAAACAGCACGTTATTCTGATGTTTTGAGAAAAGTATTACAAGCACCATGTCGGAATGCAGTTATGATCAAACACATCAACTTAGTATAAAAATTACACTATTTTTGACACATCGTCATTGAAAGAATCATTCGATTGAAACTCAGATAGATACAAGTCGTTTATAATTTAAAATGTCGTTTGACAATTTTCGGATGAAAATAAACACTCGTGAGAGGTGATAAACGTTCTGTGTCAATTATTATTATTATTATTATACAATATTTAAGTGCGATTGTACAATATCTTAAGTTCGACCTTTTGTTAATCGCCGTGTGTTTAATCAGTTCTGTCCTAACGCATCTGATCGCAATTTTCTAACTCCAAAACGCACAACACGCGTTGCGATGTTGTGATGTTTGTCAACTGTTGAAATCTTCCACCAATGAGAACGAAGCGTTTGATGCATACTGTTCGGCAAAGAAAACGGTTTCTGCTCGAACGTGGCCATTGATGCGCAAAACCACGACACGTGACAACATGTAACTCGCACGTGACAACTCGATTAACGACGATTCGTCTCAAAATGTTCGCGCGTGATTATGTGGAGATCATCGAAGAGGCTGATTATTAGTTGTCTACATTACGTGATCAGATGCGGTCGCATTAACCTGGACACGGACGATTTGGATGACATATCGGACTACGACGTCCAGGATGTTCCTAGTAAAGTAACGTTGATCCGCCCCGTGTTACGTTCGCGAGAGATCGTTCGAACGCACTTTAATGTATCCGACAAAAAAGAGTATAATGTATCACTTTGTACAGAGATAGTGAGAAATATTGTAAAGTGAATTGTTTAATGAAAGAAAAAAAAAAAAAAAAAAAACGTTTTTCCGTAAATAAATTTGTCCGTGCGCTTGAAGATGCTTGAAACATATTAAATTTCGGCGCAAACCACGGGGCGGAATTTATTATCGCAAACCACGTGTAGAGAGTACAGCTTCACAATGAGATGTAAAAAAAAAATCGTAGGCGTTTTAACGTCTCCCGCAGTGCATTTCCAGCCGCAGACATTCGGAGTGCCGTGGCAACCGCGGCAGGATGACGTGCAGCATCGACCGGACGCGCCGGGCGTGAGGAGGATCTCGCCGCCGGAAGTGGTGACCAAGATGTTGCGGGCTCTCGAGGAGATGGGCGAGTCCGTGGAACCGTCTGCGGTCGACAAGACGCGCGAAGATACGTCCGAGCCACTGGAGCAGCTGTTACGTGCGGAGACACAGCCGAGAACGAGTTAAAAGTGTCTCTTCAGAGTGTCTCGAGGACTTCGGTGGATCTCTTAAAATCTTACATTTTGTACATTTAGGAAAGATAAGACGGATGGAGTATGAGCTCTGAGTACGTGTAAACTATTACGTTATCGTTTGGTCCAATTTTCCTTACATTTTTTAATTGCCAGTTTTGTTCAAGGCTTGTGTAATATGATCGTGTGTGCGTATAAAAATAAACCGACGTGTACAATGTTTTAATTGTTTGCAGATTTTCACAATCTAGAGAGTTTTATCAATATTATTGAAAAACAAACATGTATATTGATTATAACTTTTATCATAGAATCGTATATTGTAGAATCGTGACTGTATATCGTAACTGTATACGTTGTGTGTGCGTGTGTGTGCGTGTGTGTGTGTGCGCGTGCAAAAATATTAAATTTCATCGAAAATATTTTAACACACGATAAACATCATTGTAATAAAATCACGTTGCGACAATCACGTTCAACTTTTGATGTTTGTATTCTAACATTTAGGTTCATGAGACGCTATAGTGAACTTTTCTAAAATACAGGGTTAAAGAGAAATCGTGCCAATACTTTTATAAAAATTTTATTTATTGCAAATCTCGATGTGATTCGCATATAAGAACCGAAACACCTTCGTCGAAATACGATTGTTTTGATGCGATACAACCAAACTTGGTAAAAAATCTCTCTACAAGAACCCGATAACACCGCAGGCAACGCGTGCGCCCGACGACCCCGTCTTCAGGCTCTCCTCAGTACCTCCGCGACCGAGATCGTCGGGTTTTTCGTGGATCACCAGAGTTCTGCCGATTGCCCCGCGAACGCCCACCAAACTCAAGTAGTGATCCCAGCCCTCGATATGCGCCACTCCGTCTTGCGTTACTTCGATATTGCCGAGATCGCCGACGTGACGTAACGGATCGCTCGGTGCCCCGTGATTCACCTGAAACGTGATCGCTTTTCGTTTTTTGTCGCGACTTATATGATTTTTTTTGTTAACTCGAGAAGTGCGCAAACTTAAATACTTTATTTGATGTTAATAAGCGTTTTTTTATATTGCGCAATAATTTGAAAATCGTCAATGTCGTTCGTACCATGTACGGATTGAAATGCGGGCCGGCCGAATTGCAACCCTTTCTCAAATCTCCCTTCTCGTGCACGTGGAATCCGTGCAAGCCCGGATTCAACCCCGTGACAGTGCCCGTGACCTTAACCCCCTCGGGATGCTGTTCCAGCGTTAACGTTCCTCGGGGTCCGTCTATTGGCAAGCCGTTCTCGTCGAGAGCTTTCAGCTCCACCACCGCTTTCAGACCGATCTCCTGCAATACACATAACATTGCGAAATCACATCGCGGTGAATTTCAAGAGGGGCGTCGTATGATTTGTATCGACTGATAATATACAAAGATGAGAAAAGTAAGGGGTATAACAAGCTACAAAAAAATATTATATAAAACTTATATAAAAGTAATATAATAAAAAAACTATATAAAAAATTAATAAAATAAAATTTGCGAGTGATAAAAATACAAATTTATTTTATCAGTGCAATATGTTTATATAAAAATAACGTAAAACTGGATTATTTAAAATTAAACAGGCTTATATTTGGGTGATATTATATACGTGTACGCGCACAATCGCGCGTAATTCATCGAGAAAATTTCCCGAATTGAGAATCCGATCGTTCATCCCATTGATTCCCTGCGATTACGCGCGTTCAACGCGCGAATTCACCTGAGTAGAACGAAAAATGCACGCAATCGAGGGGATATCTACGGAAGCAATTTGTTACAGCTTGCGCGATTAATCCATAAATGCAGCCGTGCGCGCGAGCGAAGAGAGATACCCGCGGGAACCACGACCGAGGAAGAACCGGAAATTGATAATGATTCGCGCGTCCAGAGCGTATCGAGTGATACCACTACAAAAGTAAAGTAACCACTCTGTGTCTGTCGTGGCTGCGCGCGCGAGCGGCGGCACTTCCTATCTAATTTAATCTGCTCGCATTAGTCGCGCTATGATTTATATGTACTTCTCGGCGGTTTTTACGCGCGAGCGTAACCGCCGTTTTTCCCGAGCGAGCGGGAGGTCGCGCGGTTTTACACGGGCAAAATCAATCCGCAATTACGGGGTACAATGTAACGTACGTACGTATGTATGTATGTACGCGCGGCAACGACGACGACGACGACGAAGCGTCTAGAAACCACGCGCAAGGTCAATCGAAGGAGATCGCTTCGGTGGAATTGCGCAGGCATACTTTATTCTCGTGTACCAACGCGATTACTCGCGATTGCGACTATTCGAGTGAAAGCAGGTCCTTCTTCTTCCGACGAGTAACGATCCTACCTCATCTCGGTATCCTTCGCAATGTTTGAATAACTTAATAGCTCGTTATGCAAATTCTTGTGCATTGAGGACTATTCACTCGATTGATTAATGACTCTGATAATGGAACCGCGCGAGACGAAAAAAATCATCGATGTTGAAGCGTATCGTTCGTTTCCTTTCTCTCCTTCTCTCTTGTTTGGAGAACAAGAAGAAGTCGCGAATGTAATTGCTCGCGCCGGGTTACATGGGAAAAAGTGAGAACAGAGATGAGACTTTCGGGCGAGATTTTGTCATTTGTAACAAAATTGTGAACAATGAACACAAGTGCAAAGTAAGAGAAAAATTTGATTGCTTTTGTATGAAAATAATCCATAGACGTGGTTTTGTTATCGTTGAAGGAAATGTGAGATATTATAAATTCGTGTTTGTAAAAGAAATGTGAGCGACACGTTCGTTATTTTTTACAGTTACACAGCGCGGATGTGTAACTAAGACAAAAACGCTGTCAAGTTGTCATCGTCTTCTTCGCGTTTCAGAAGAAGCGGTAGTGTAAGGAGCAAGAATGTCAAAATCGAACGTTTTACGAAAATTCATAAATCACGTAATGTTTTTTCGCGTGTGATTTTTGACGTAACGCAAAGAAAAAAGAATTTAGCCGACAAATATCGATCAAAATTCTCATTTTAATTAATTAATGTTGACACTCGGTCGCTCGACGCTTTTTTCCCAGAAAAGTTGGCGAGCGGTAGCGGCCAGTAAAAACCCCGCTACTTTCTTGAAAAATTATTGCGAAAACTCCACGGTCATATTAAAATTCAATTCTCTATGTTCTGCGAGAATGAAAACAATATGCGTCATGTAATAATAAATAAAACAAAATTTGTAAATTTCAACAATTGCAACCGGACAAAATTTTTACGGGATTATTTCGTGAAAAATCATACATACGAAATAGTACGGCTCCATGTAGATCTCGTAGAGATCGCTTCTCGCTCCAGGTAGACCCGGCAGGCTTCTGATGAACAGCGTCCTATCGTTCATTGAAACTGCCATTCTGTCGTAGGGCCCGGCGGACGCAGCCGCGATCATACCGATCACTATCGACAACCGCCGCCACATCTTGCAAGTGCGAGAGAGCTCGTGTGCGCTGAAGAAACAGGAGCGATGGATTTGGTTCTCTCGCTCAGGTGCGCCGTCCTCTAAGTCGATCAGAGGACACAGCGAGTCTGTCGGTAGAGCCTGACGGCGTCTTCGAACAGCTTGGCTCTTCCTCCTCTCTTCTCCCTGTTTTCTCTTCCTTCTTCTTCTTCTTCTTCTTCTTCTTCTTCGTATCCTCCTTCTCCCCTGCGCTTGTACTATCTATTTCTTCTCAACTCGATCGCAACGATACCTGACAGTCCGAGATTCATCCACTTCTCGCGATAACGATCTTGCGTCGTACCGATGATCTTCTCGCGGGGAGACTTCGGAGACCGACTGCTCTCTCTTTCTCCGCGAAGAAGAAGATGACGACGAAGAAAAAGAAACAACCGTGCTTTTGATTTCCCCCGTGTGTGGCGTGTACTTATGCGTTACGTCATCAAACGAATCGCGACGAGAGGCAGGTTGGTTCTTCGATACCAGGCGCCTCTACGGGAGCCGTCGGGACACCAGGGGGTCTCTCCCTCTTTCTCTCTCGCTCTCTCCTTCTCGTTCGCGAACGAACGATACCGATTTAACGATGCGATCGTGACTGACCACGCGGCTACCACCGCTGCGTCCAATCTTGATCGCAACAACTTGCGCGTTGCGTTGCCCGGTTCGTTTCCCTTTTCCTGAGACGTCGCGCGCTCGATACACATCGATGCGACGTGTGTGCACCTCGCGTTTATGCACGTGGCCTGCGCCGCGAGGTACAAGCCGAGTGAAAGTGTGATGTGTGGCGCGGTCGCGCTCACGTTGTTTGCCAGTTGGATGGACGGATCACGCACAGATACCGCATTGATACCGCGGGCTAATCTGACCCGTCACTTGGCTTGAAAAGCCGCGAAATCAGGGCGCGCGCAATTTTCGCGATTCTTCAACCGGAACGCGACGCGACGCGACGCTGCGTGGTTGTTGCGCGACTTCGTTTGTGCAAATTGATTCAAACGACAAGAACGATTTTTTTTACGAATAGCAATTTATGATAATTGTTGCTTGTAATATCGGGGCAACGGCTTTTATTAAATTTTGCCGGTTTGCATGTAATTGGCCGCGAGCGTAGTTGAGCGCTTATGAATATTTTTAATAATTTTATGCGGTATGCGCGAGGTTTTTTTTTCCGCGTACAAGCACAATCGTCCGCGCGTATTTGCATATACAAGTCCGATGGGAAATTAAACGCAACCACGCAGAACCGTAGTAAAACGCGATTACATGCGTTCCGATAAAAATTTCCTCGTCTGTGGAAAACAACGACAATGACGAGTAAATAAGACAGAGTGAGAGAGAAGAATATGAGACAGAAACTGTGCACATACGCACTTCTCGCGAGAGGTGCATCTACGAGTTGTGGGTCAAGCACGGCCGAAGGGAAGTGGCTGACCACTTCAAGGTGGTCGCGTATATTTGCCCGCGCTACTCGCGAAAGTACAAAACTCGAGAACATTTCGGTTTCGAACACGTCTGGCGAGCGAGTGTCGACAAGACGATTTGACGAACGATCTTGGCAATTGTCGTTGAAATACGGCGCTGAGTATTAAAAAAAAAAAACGCTATTAATTCGGAAGATGACGACGCGCTGAAGCTACAGTGAGCGCGTAATGTCAATGGAATTTCAATTCCAAGCTGAAATTCCGCTGAGAAGAAGAAAACACGACGTCTCTGAGAAATGTCGTAAAATTTGTAATAAAACAGAATGGCGTAGCGACATTTCTTTTTTGAAGAAATGACGCGCGGAATCATGTCCTTTGTCAAGATTAGACGCGAAGCGCGAATTGAGTTGACGAGTCAAAGTCAATTGAGTAAAAAAAAAGTAAAATTTATATAATATTATTTGGAATATAATCTCACGAACTCGCTTGAAAATCGATTGCGTCTCTGCTTTTCAGAAATTATCTAACGTATGGAGTCTCATCAAATCTATCGATAAGTAAATTCTGATAAGTAGGTTCTGATAGGTAGATTTTGATAAATTAATTCTGAGAGAGATAAGTAAATTCCGTATCCGTGCGATGATACAAACTCTCTCCGCAATGAGGTAACATTAGTCTCTCTCTCTCTCTCTCTCTCTCTCTCTCTCTCTCTCGGCGCAACACGTAGTCGTTGACACAATCGAAGTTTACCTTCGACAATTCGACACGCGTTTGCTTCCACAGCTGACACGTAGAAATTATCTCGCACTTAGAGAAATAAAAAAAAAAAAAAAAACGTCCAAGGTAAAATCCTTGCGTTACAGTAAGGAAATAATTAATACAGGATCAAGGCGGCGAACCCCGCAGAGGCGCGTGTATTCCAACTTGGTTGTTTCTTTTTTCTTTTTTCGCTACACCTGTAGTCGGGTCTCTACGCCATTGCGTTCTTACTAAGCGCACAAGAGTGCGTTAATGAAAGGAGTCGCGGCATAAAAGCGCTTCATACGCTCCGCGGGGTGTTCTTGCGCAAGAGGACCTTGTCAATCATCGTATATTCGTCAATAATTACATTTAATTTATTCTTTAACAATCGAGCCGTCAATCTGATTTTATTTTCTATATATTCTATGTATTTGTTTTTTTTATTACATAATTTTATATCGTGCAAAAAATACCAACAATATTGTATTTGTGATGTTCGCGCAGCAGAGCTGCTGGGAAATGAAATAATCTGAGCGAAGTGTTATGTACCGCGTAGAGATTCGATCGAACATCATGCCATGACTATAAACCGATGCACAAGGCCTGTAGAACCTTGATGCTATAACAACACACAACACCGACGTCGATGGTTTAGGAGAGGGGAGATAAGACACAAGGTGTGTAACACGTAGATATGCATAAGCGGTCCGCCTGATCGTCCAAGGAAGGCGAATGTTATAAGCTCTGCTTTCCACGGAGTTTCAGTTTTCTCCAACCGGCCTCCCATCGTTGACGTGTTGTTCGCAAAAAGACGCCTCAACGGTTCTTTCTCCTTCTCCATCTAGAAATCTCGAGAGAAGAGAGAAATTTTCCCCCGGAGGTCACAACCGGTCGAACTCGTGACGCAACAACGTGTATCTTTAAAAAAAAAAAAAAAAAAAAAAAAAGGCGACTCAAAGTTACGCAATCGCGGCGACAAACGGGGAAAAAGAGCGCCACGATCTTTCGGCGTATCGTTTATTTTTTTCTCTCGCGTGTTTCTTTGCGCGCGGGACCAATTCCGTCAGAATTTCCTTGTTACAAGAGAGTCGCAGTCGAGATTTGACTTCTTTGAATCGCGCGATCCACGTGAGTGTGCGTCGATAGTGTGCGTCACACACGAAGCGAAGGCAGTAATATCAGAGAGGGAAAAAATAAAAAAAGAAACCAGTGTCGCACTTGCAGTTGTCTACGGTGGACGATCGTCTGAAGCTAAACCTTCAGTAAGGAATCATCGGTAAAAAGGTAGCAATCAGTACGTATAACCATTATATTTCCTCTAATTGTAAGTGCGCCATATATACGTACTTACCTTATAAGTACTTATTTCAACGTTACGTTAAATGAGTATGTTCGTCGAAAAAAAGGTACATACGTGCAGATATACCGCAAATTACGGACGGAATAAAAAAAACAGAATAATTAATTATGTTTAAAAATATTTCTATTAATTAAGCAACAGCAATTTATCTTTTTAAGATAATTCAAAGTCACTGCGATCCCATCTAATGATTTTTACATTTATCTTAAATGGAACTGCAGTAACTTCTAATTATCTTCAAAAAAAAAAGATAAATTGTAGTTGTCGGAAATTATTTGTGATCTAAACACATACAAGTCAGGAAAAGAATAACTTTATGATATTCATTTCTTAGAAAACGTGATTCAATTATATCCATGTTTGTTATGAATATTTGATTTACGAGAATAAGTCGCGCACGTCCGAGTGTCAAGCGCATGCGCAAACGCGCGACGATTATCTGGACGACTTATTTAGTAGGTGAAAAACGCTTATTGTTAAGAAAACGATGAGTCACATCGCAGCTACATAAGATTATTCTGATGATAAGAAAAAAACTAATTAAACTTTATCCATTACATAAAGTAAAATTTTGTTTTTTTGTTTGAATGATAAAAGAATGCGTTCACGATTTTACAATCTGCGATATAAAACTTGTTACTTTTTTCGAAAAAATCGAGACATCTACGATGATCTTTCCGCGAGCTTGAAAAAACTTTCCGTTTCTTAATAAATTAAATTCTATTCGCGAACCCGTCTATGTAACACGCGTCGTGAGCAACGGCTCTGCATTAACCGTTCGACGTTGTCGGTTGTTGTACAAGTTGCGTATCTTTTTAATTTTGTTTTTACGACGTAATCGGAAACAACAATTACACAGTCTCGATTGTGCGAAACGTTACTGCGTAGCTGGACTGCCAATCAGAACTTCACAAATGCAATATCCGGTTTTCTTTATAAAGAGGATCCAGGCACACAAAGGAGACATCAATCCGAAGCATAATTATCCCCACCTTGCCCGGGATGTGCATAAACGTCCATAAATCTCATTCGATTTAAATTCGAAATGTATCTCAATTGCTCGAAATTTTTTGTTGTTTATCGACACGTTACTGTCAAAACTTTTACTCTTTTTTAAAATTAAGTTAAATTTAAAATTGACTGCGATTGTACGCGTGTATATATAATTTTAAGTAAAATAAAATTTCAAAAAAAAAAAAAAAAAATAGATCAGATAGAGAATTTAGTTGTTTTTTTTTTAGGTCTTCTATAATTTATATTTATGTAATTAATCGCGATGTTGCGAAAAGATCGCGGAGTTGCGCGTCTCGATTGTAACAACACTTTCGTCTAAACAAAAAATATAGAAGGTCGAAGGTGACTTCTCCGATAAAACGTTTGCGAATCGTGTATGTAATTCCATTTCACAACGCGCAATAATTACGCGATAACAAACATTAGTTCGTACTATCAGCACACATGTGTGTTATGAATTCGCCTCATCTCACGTGTGTGATAACGTAGCTCCGATCGAGGAAACACGTAGGCAGTTGTTTTTTTTTTTTTAGTTTCTTTGTCTCGCGGAGCAAACCTACCAAGTTGAGTGTTGATCGATACCGATATTTATGTATGTATTGTGTACACATGTGAATTATACATCGTGTTACTCATATCGTTGTCACGCGGCGCGATAAGCAAAGCAATGAAATTCTTTGCAAAAGAACGCAGAAAAAGCGCCAGAACTTCGCGTTCTTCGAAATTGCCGCTTGCGATCGCTAAACATTCGCGCACTCCGCGTAAAACATTTTTCTCCTTGCGTTTTTTTTTTTAGCTCGCGCAAGATTCAAAGCTCGGGGAAACAAAACTCGATGGCGCTGCAACAACAAAAATTTCTCGTTTAGAAACAGCAACAAATTCACGTGTATGTTCGTCAGTGACATACTTACTGCAAGTGATTACTTGAACGGAACGGAAAGCACCGTTGGTGAATATCTAACATCCTTCGGTATATTATCCTATTAATCTAACTGGCACGTATGTTGCACGGTGTGTAGCGCGTTTGTTGGCTTCCTTGTAACAGTTAGCTCCAATTAGAAGTGAGCCGCTCAGATCAATAAACACATTCAAATCTACGTAGCGAAATCGCGCGATCAAAGCAGGTGAGTGTGTAAATGTGTGTGCGCGCGCGCGTGCGTTTTACGATTATTAGTTAAGCCCGACAATGTTCGGCGGAAATTTGCGCGATCTAGTTAAAAAAACGTATTTGAATAAAACTTTGTTTCTTCTTTATGTTACATTATTGCAACAAAATTTTACAACAAAAAATATGAGAAATATTGCTGTCACACATTTCAATCACTTGTACGTAGTGAAATTGAAATCAATGTATTACCTATCTACTTTGACAATGTTAAGATACACGCTCAAACAAAAATGTTTGTTAAATATTTTTCAAGATATAACACGCACATCGTTACGCAGTTTTCTAAACTACATCGAGTAATGTACGTTTTATAAATTATTAAGTCGCATTTGTGTATATAAAATCCTACGAAGAGACAGACAACGCGGAACCCGACAGAGGCCCTAGAATCTTCCGACAATCATCTTGGACAATCATCCGGTCACCGGTGCCGGTCGTTTACGAGATACTTGTTCGTGGTTGATTTGCTCGCGCGTCGCGGGTAGGAGGTGCGCACGAGGGTACCGTACTGATATAAGCAGAACATGGGCCCAGCATCCGCAGTCAGTCAGTCAGTCATTCAGTCATTCACACAGTGCCCGAATAACATTGTGTCCGTCTGAACCGGTAGGTTCCTTTCACTTTTCGCGCATGCACACACACACACACGTACACGCGCGCTTTTCCCTCATCGATCAGTTGCGCCGATTGCGTTTTATCGCGCCACATAGATCTGTGACGGAAAATCGATTGCGCAACTCGAATTTATCACGCGAACTAATCGTATCGCCACGTAAGAATTTTTATTCAAGTCGAAGTTTTATCTTTTGTTTTTCGACGTAGTATTACTTCTTTCGTTTTTATCTTCGGTATAACAAAATATTCGCGACGTTTTTATATTTCGCAGTCAAATAAAACAATTGGTTACCAAAAAAGCTCGATTTGTATTTGTTTGAAAGCTACGAAATCAATTTTTTAATTAAAAATAGTAGCGCGTTGGAAATGCAAAACTCAAAAGTTTTAATCGATAAACGCAATATGTCGGAGAAACAATTCAACGCGGCGTATTAATCCGTAACGTCGATATATTCGTGCACGCGATGTAGATGCGCTTTATTGTGCATTCAATAATTATACGTGTGGTCAATTGTTCGCGTTTTATTTGGAGCTTTGACGATCAAAATAATAACGATCGATTCGAGATTGCGCGGCTTATTGAACGACGTATTCCCGCGCGCTCTGATTAATCTCTAACGTTCTTCCACGTCTCTGCCGACAATAAATTAAATATCGAACGTATATATGTACGTGACGTGATGCCGTCTTTTGCCGCGAATAAAAATGGAAATATCACGCGTGTATCGTGGTCGCGTCATCCGTTTGCTTATACGCTAAATCGCACGAATACGGAATATAACTCTGATCGATGAACCTGCGCAGGTGTTGTGGATGAACACCTCTCGTTGTGGATCGATATTTCCCGGAAAAACTCTTGTACACATATTCGTCAAGCTCGCGGTGTTTCATCTTTCCTTTATGTTCTACCTCGAAATCAATATTTGCAAATGTCAGGATTTATGTAACAATATTTTGACACACAACAATATTTTTAAACATATATGTGTATAAACTGATATATAGTCTATTAATTATGTATAAGTTTATATTATTTGTACACGGGAAAAAGATTTGCTAGAATAACGAGAAGATCAGCTAATGAATTTTTTGTTTCGCCAACAAAACGTTTTGTTGATTAAACAAAAACTTCGGAAGAAAATTCAACAATTTTTTCTCGGTCATACAATAGCAAAACTTTTTTCCATGTGTGACGTATAGATACTATAAAAAAATAGTACGCATAGGTATAAAAAAATTATTTTAAAATACGATAATAATTACGGCATTTTATGAATTTTACATGACTCTTTCTCTTTCTAACAACTCAGCTGAAATAAATTATGTACACGTGTACATTTATATCGCACATATGTAAGTAATGTAGGACGATAGATATAACGCGATGTTCCCATCACTGATCGATCTCACAATACAACATATCAATCATGCAAAGTGGCATTAACTTCACCTTCACTTGGTCATCGAACTCTGTTTTTTCGTCGACCTCAGTTTGTCTTTCAGGCGAATTATATAAGCGACTAGTTCGCTTGCATTTGACAGTCGCGCGCCTCGAAAAGCGTGTCGATCGGTGCCTTACGCCGAAGTTTGTTGTAGTTGACGTTAACAAAAAGTCGTGAATATTAACAGAACTTGGCCGCTAGTTTGGACACCGATGATTTTGCCTAAAAGAATGAGTCTGAATTCGCGATCAGACGTTACCGATTTTATATAACGAATAAAGGCGATATTACCTCGAGAAACCTACAACTTCAATCACACTTTTGTTTAGAGCTGTTTAGTTATATCGCAAAAAAAGTTGTAATATCATCGTTTCTAACATTTTCTTGTCAATCTGAGATTCTTTTTTCGAAAAAAAAAATCGAAATGACAGAAAAGTCACGCAACGGCACGCACGAGACATGAAATCATGGACTAAACTTTTGTACTTGATTGTAAGTTTTCATTGTTGTTTGCAGCCTACGTACGCACGATGAGTCGAGTGGTTGCATTACTGCTGGTAGCAGCTGTGTCTGCGGTTACAGCCGAGGTACGTGAACTATGATTTTGCCAAGCTTTCGCTTCAAGACGCGTGTCAATTAAAATATCTTTTGAAAACAAAACGTGAAAGCGTTACTGATTTGTCGAATCAACTCGATGCAGGAGTTGATAGCGGTTGTTCGTCTGACGCCGCACAATGTTCACGTAAAGAACGTCACGGGTACCTTGAAGATCGTCCAATCCGTCGCTGACGGACCCGTCAGCATCACCGGCACGATTCACGGACTCCCGGAAGGACCTCACGGCTTTCACGTGCACGAAAAGGGAGATTTGAGCGAAGGTTGTACGTCAGCGGGGGCGCATTTCAATCCTGAAAACGTGAGCATCCTCACTGCGTAGTAACAAATTGAGATCTCAGTTTCGATATAATTTTTTCTTCGTGACGTAACAACTTTTTTTTTTAATTACAAATTGAAAGTACAAATTGAGTATCTTCACAACTTCGTTACATCGATTGGAGTTAATAAGATTTGCACGCACTTTGTGATATCGATCAGGTCACGCACGGCGCACCGGAAGACACTGTCAGACACGTCGGCGACTTGGGAAATATTCAGGCCAATTCCAACGGAGAAGCGACAATAAACATAACCGACAAAATTATTTCGCTGAGCGGAAAGAACAATATTCTAGGACGATCGTTCGTTGTTCATTCTAACGAGGATGATCTTGGCAAAGGCAACCACACTCTCTCATCGACAACCGGAAATGCTGGGGATCGTTTGGCCTGCGGTGTTGTTGGCATCCAGTAGGTTCTTCTTTTTTGTTTCTGCGAGTGTTTTACTCTGTTTTTGTCTGTCTTATGTTTACATACACCAAAAAAAAAAAAAAATTCTGTTGTAAAATTCCTCACATTCATTGAGTGACAGTAGGATGTAACATTTTTTGTGTCGCAAAATGTTTGTCAACGCAACAATTAATATTTCAAAATGCAATCGCAAGATTGACTTCGTGTGTTTCAATGTGCTTGCTGTCTCTGTCAAATATCTGTTTGCAATCCGTACGTTAAATATATTGTTGTGTAAATGTACGTTGTATACGTCCGAAATAATTTGCCGAAGTTTCTTCTTGCACGCGTCTTTGTACGAGAAAGTTAAGATTGAGAACGAAAACTTGGATAGCCACGCTTTGTTTTGCACATTTTACAGGAAAATCTGATGAGGTACTTCGAAGGGAAGAGAAATGTCAGCGAGACCATGTCAGTGAGAGAAAAAAAAAGGATATACTCACACCACACTTTGTAGATCTGATTAGAAATACACCTCTTCGATATTGTTAATAATGTTGTGTGCTCTCTCTATAAAAAAAAATCTCCTCTTCCATCAAATATCTATTGTATGTTTTCATAAGACATTATTATTATTATTATTATTATTATATATAGTAATTATGTACGTGTCTGATGTGATTTGTAAGATGGATTTGTGTTGTTTGTAATAAACAGCTGCGGACAGTAGAAGTAGTAAAAAATGTCCACACACATACACACACACACACACACACATATGAATCCCAATGTAATTTTCCTTCTGACTGTTTTTCCCAGCGTGTCTATATTTTTCATACCTGTAACCTTGATTGTATTTGATAACGCAAGTACACGTGTTGGTTTGTTTCTTTGTGCTTTTTCCGCAATGTATCTTTTCTTGCGTTTGCCGTGCATTTATCTGATTGCATTTCTGTGAAAAGATCTGGTGTACAGAAAAGTATATATAAATTATATATACACGCAGCACTATAAAAAATATATTGTACATTAAAATAATAAAATAAAATGCTTATGTTTATTAATGTTACAATATGCACACAACGCGCGTGGAAATACAAACGACACGTTCATGATATTTGCAACTTGGAAAAAAAAGTAAACTAAACTTTTTCCTCGAATTGTATTTTCATGCTGAAATAAACAATTCAGTGAAGTACGTAATGTTAATTTTAATAATTCTTCGAAACGCGCGTGACGCGTTGAATTATTTTTTACACATAAAAACAAAATAAATAATAAAATCAGATTCTTATGACACGAAAAATCTTCAGTGATTTCGGAAAAATTACAACGTATCTCTCGGCGTTGTGTGTAATTACGCGTAGTTTAAAGAGGACGTATCTTATCGATATATCTTTAATGTTGTTTTCAGGTCGCCGACAGAGAGCTGGAATTCCGGAATGCTTGTCACTCCGAATGTGTTGACCATCGTAATATTCCTCCTTGCCGTTGCTTATCACCAAATTAAATTCTAATTCGAGTTTGCGAGAACTCGAAATTACACGCATCGTATCCAAAGAGAAACAAATCGCATCGAAAAAAAAAAAACAAACAAACAACGAAAAAAGAGACAACAAAGACTGCGATTGCGTCAATTTTTTTTTCTAATTTTAAGCGCGACACATCGTCGCGATTAAAAATAATACACACATAATACACACGTCGTACCGAATAAAACAAGTTTTTCTCGATTGGCTAGAAGATATACGAAAGAAAATGGTATTTTTTTTATCTCTCGACGTGAATTACAAATACACTGACAGAGCAGGTGTAGAGTTTCCGTCACAAATTGAAGTCGACGCAATGTTTAATTGCATTTACTGCACGTTACCTTGTGTGAGAGTCCAATCGCTTCTCCGCTCACAGGTTGACACATTTCGAAGAAATTGCGTTTTCTAATTATAAAACATTCTGTTTTATTTACAATGTTTAATTTACGCACACAACACACTTGTGTGTGAATTGTAAAATTCGCGGCATGTGTCTACTTACTTATAACTTGATATATATACGTAAGATGTTCAATAGTCCAATGTATAAGTGTTACTTATCATAAGATAAGATTTATTTAGTGACAGAGTATTCGTAAAAAATCTGATAAGTTAATGAATTTCGTTTATAGAAAAATTGCGCACTTTTCTCAAAATTAATCTACGTTAGATGCAAAGATAGAGTTACCGATTAAATTTCTAATTGTCTTGTCTATCTCTCTGTGTGTCTTGTAAGTAACGTTTACACTGTGAATATCATTTATACAACGAAGCAGTTTGCCATCAATAAATGAAAAATAAGATCATTGATGTAAAAATTATTATCTTGTTATTGTTTTTTTATTTACACAATTCAATATTTATTGTACTAATATATGCTTTTAAATCAACGTAATCTCTTTTCAAAGAAAAAAACTTAGCGCATAAATGTAAAGTGAACGCGATGATCAAGTTAAAAAGACACGTTTCGATCGTGAAAACTCTTTAAATTCTCAACGTGTTATCACTGCGCATGTAATCACGCTGCTAGCGTGAAGAAGTATGTAAGCATGTGTGTGTGTGTGTGTGTGCGTGTGAACTCTCTATTGCGCTCTCTCATTAACCTACATGCGTGTCTGTGCGATATACGGAAAATGTGGCGAATCCCGTTTGCATGTAAAAATAAGCTAAGCCTCTTTACTGGAAGTTTCACTCAAAAGAAACGTCACAGATGTCTATCGGAATCACGAAAACGTCACCGCATTTGCGAGTCCACTTTGCGACCTACTTTGCGTGTATGTACACCGTATGAATAATTAGATAACGTGATGTTATTTACTCTGCGTTAAGCGATCGTTCAGAATGCGATGCTCAACACGCGGTTTGCCCGATAAATTTTGCGACGCGGCTTGCGTCGCAATACAGCGTCGCAAAATAATATGTCGCTTAATGAGATGAACAATTGATGTTCCTGATCGTGGTGTAACATTTGGGTCATCCCGGCAAATCGGCAAACTAATATCCGGTCAGATATCAAAGTAATTCAAAACAATGAGAGTAATTTAACTAATAAGTTACTAATTTAAAGTGAACACGCGTGCCGAAAGTAAAAGCCGCCAAATAAAATATCATCACCTGACTCAGATTCGAACACGGAGAATCAACAGGATAGAGTAATACAAAATTTCTTGTGCGATCTTGCGCTAGACCACAAAAGTCGAACTCGAGGATTCTTTCCGCGTTTAATTCTCAAGATAACGGCGGGGCTTTTGTACACATTGAAGACAATCGATGGCTTCCGCTACGTGTAAATCGATTACTACTTCGCGAGGCGAAGATGATAATAACCGAATCCGCAAGAGGGGGAGTTTGTGTGGATTTTACGCGTCCTATTTTCTTCTTTTCTCTGAAAAGCTGGTTTCACCCGATGGTTAGAGCCGAGTGAAACCATGGTTACTATCGACGACCACATAACACCTTCGCCCGTGAGATCGTCGACCAATGACAGACTGGTAACGCGCGCCGACCGCGTTCTCCAGGTCCTCGAGCATCGCCCTGGACGACCAATGAGGTCGTGTGTGCTCGCCTGTCTGTGTGTCTTTGTGCCTCGGTGGCCTCGAGCCCCCGGAGGATTTCGATCGAAGCCTTTCGTCGCCTAGACTCAAACGCCAGGGGTACCTACCCACCTAGATCGCTCTCCCATTGACCGCACGTCTGTCGTACCGAACGCAAGACGATCGATTATATACGTCCGGCTTGTTTAAGTTCGCCAAGTGTGAAATCGGTGTGAGAGTAGTTTTGAAATAAGATATAGAATTGACGATTTTATAGAGAACAGAAAGAGAGAGAAAGACATCATGGAGTCTTGTGGAATGAACATTATCAAGTACATCCTTTTCATCTTCAACTTGATCTTCGCGGTGAGTAAACGAGAACGACAGCAAACAAGAGAGTTGCTTGTTGAAAGTACTCGAGAGAATAAACACTTTTTGAAGCATCTTCTCTCCGTCTTCAGTGCGTACATAGTTAAATAAATATTTTCTTGTGAATTTTTAAATAGTTTTTTGTCGCGATCTTCTCTGAAGAAATACTTTCGGGCGCGAGCGCGCGCACTTCTTTTGATAATTCAATGCTCTTTTCGTTTTTCTTGAGTTGTAACGGACTTTTGCGCGGTTTTGCTTTTGTTCGATACGAATTGGAAAATATTACGACGACGAAGAAAAACCGTTCAGCCGTCGAAATCGATTATTCCAGGTATCCGGTGTAGGTATTATCGCGGCGGGAGGATTTGTGTTGGGGGATATCAGTGAATTCAATCACTTTGTAGAAGGAAGGATAATAGCACCGCCCATAGTGCTCATAGTTGCGGGCGCTATCGTCTTCCTCATAGCTTTCCTAGGATGTTACGGTGCGCTCAAGGAGCATTACAACATGCTGATCGCCGTAAGTTACATTAAAAAATAAGTTAAATTAATTAAAAAAAAAAAGTAAATGTAAGGAGTGAAAACTAAAACTAAACTTGTTATCTTTATTGAGTAATTATAAAATTAATAGGGAAATAAAATTAAGAAAACAATAGTGTCTTACAGGTAAAAATAGGATAATATCAGTAGTTAAAATTAATTTAATAAAATTAATGTTGATAAAATTAATTTTATCACAGTTTTCCTTAAAAATTTGGCGAGAACTTTTGAATTCACTTAATCTCTTAAAAATTATTTAGTTCGCGGTCGCGCTGGTGATAATCTTCGTGATTGAGCTCGCGGTTGGCATAGCGGCGGCGGTGTTCAAAAACGATTTCAGCATGGTAATGAAGGACAGTCTCAAAGAATCGCTCAAGACTTACAGCGAGGCGGACAGACAGGCGTGGGACAACGTGCAGAAAAAGGTCAGTATACTGAATCTGGAGCGCAACACGCGCTAATAGTTTTGTCGATTTCCACAAAGGTGGAAGTGATAAAATCGATAGAGGTTTCGTGCCGTAAGGAAAATGGTACATGCAGTTTCCATGTAGTAGTTTAAACCGCGTGTAAGTTACAATCGCGTGCAAGTAAAGCAGACAAGTATATTCATGTTTCTCACGAGTGTGTGCTAATTTGATAGATGTTACTAGAACAATCGTATGTGCATAGATCAAATTACTTTGTTCTATTTAACATAGTCTCTCTCTCTCTCTCTCTTTTTCTCTCTCTTTCTTGTTTTACTTTAGAAAAATTAATCAAGTTATATATTAAATGTTACTAGTTACGTTAGTTAATTAATAACTTAATTAATTAACGTAAAATAGAATATATTAATTTTATTTGTTTATGTAACAGCTGCAATGTTGCGGTGTGGACGGTCCTAGCGACTGGACCTCATCTACGTTATCTTTTCCGTCCTCGTGTTGCATGGAGGATTCGCAGGTTATAGGATCATGCCAGATGGGTTCTACAATGATGTATCGAGAAGGATGCTTCAACAAACTGGAAATGCGAGTCCAGAAAAGCGCCACAGTCTTGATTGGTGTGGGCATCGGAATAGCTTTTATAGAAGTAACTAATCTCTTTCTCTCTGTTTTTCTATTTACTTTATAAGAGTTTTTTAATTATGTATCATATTTAGAGAAGTGAAACTTTTAAACGTGCATTTTTTTCTCTTTCAGATTGCCGGCATCATTTTTGCTTGTTGTCTTGCCGCAGCTATAAAAAAAGAACACGCGGATAAATAAAACGTGGAATTTAATTTTATTCATTTTTAACACACATATATTTTATTCCACAATTGCGTCAAGTTTAGCTTTAAAATTTGCTATCGTAGGTAAAATATGATAAAACTTAAGCTCAATGGTATAAGACAATGGTGTTAACAATTTATATCTAATTACTAATGAAAAAGATTCGAAAGATTAATATCGTTAAGTACTTTTATTTATAACTTATATTTTATTTATTAAATATATGTATTCTGTATATAACACGTACAAGTATAGTACCAATATACATATAATACATAATGGTAATTAATAGTATGCGGTAGGTCTCTAGTTGTATTTTTCAGTGTATTTTGTTTTAATTGTAAACATTCATTATCTTTCAAAGAAAACATTCTTTATCTTGATTTTTTTAATGTGGATTTATATAAAGACGTGCGTATATTATTTGCATATTATAGCTATATATATATATATATATATATATATATGTGTGTGTGTATGTGTGCGCGTGGTTTATATATTCGTAAATATCGATATATAATTTTCATTGTCCATTTTAGTGGCATCTGTATACAATAATAAATCATTCACTTTACTATATCGTGTTTACTTAATTAACGTATAAGTGTATGTAACACTTAAACCTGAGTTAAAAATTTAACAAACAATTCGCAAATATAAAGACCAGTTTTAAAAGATGCGTTTAATTCAAGATTAAATTAATATAGATTTATTTATACTTACATAAAAGTTTTACCAATTTAAAATACAATAATTTTTATAACAATTAGAAATAAATATCTTTCTTTGATGTGATCTCTTGTAAACGTTGGATTCTCCCGTCAATGAAAATGTAACATTACAATGTTCTGTAAATAATAAATAATTACCTGTTAATGATCTTCATTACGCATTAAATAAACCTATTTGCATTAATAAAAGTATTTTGATATTAAAAGTAAAAACGAAGTATGTGTTCGTTTTAAATCACTTTATAATAAAAAAAAAATAGAAACACAAAGTTCGTTTCATAAATTGACATTAACTCGTCCATATGAACTATCCTTGCAGATGTTCCTACATGCATTTGACTGTCCTTCTCCGTTATCATCTTTTGTATTTTCCATATTTTTCTCGTCTTCGTCTAACTTTTTCTCTTTGTCCACCTCATCCCTTCCTTGATCTTCAATTTCTACGGATGGTCCCGGGCGGGTAATTTTAGATCTCTCAATTTCTATCGAATCTTTCTGTGCGGCCTTTTTTTTCTTCTTTTTTTCGTTAATAATACGGTCTTGTAGATACGACAGAGTAATCCCGAAAGTCTACACACACAATTGTTTACTATTTGAAGGTATATTCGAATTTAAGAGTATAAAAGATACATACTTCAAACATATATACTCTAGTAATAAGTAAAATTGAGTAAAGTAACTCTTCGGAGAAAATTTTCACCTTAAGAAACCCGATGAATGCGAGAACAGCGAACAGAAGCCAAGCATAATAACGCGCAGTGTGAACGAACTCCTCGAAACATCCATTAGTTTGCAAATAAGGAGAACCCAATATGCATTCTGTTTCTGTCTGATTATTTCGACAACAAGACGCAGGAATACTCGTATTCCACGTTGTAATGTCATCGAGTCCGCAACACAAAAGCTACAATTTCAAACATTGAATATTTTTATTGAAAAAGATTTTTTTTAAGTATTACCATTAGTTTTAATTAAAACTTAGACAAATGTATACCGCGTAGTTAAAAGAGAAAGAAAAGACAAAAAGAACAAAAAAAAAATAAAAAAATCTCTCCCCGGCGGGGAATCGAACCCCGGTCTCCCGCGTGACAGGCGGGGATACTAACCACTATACTACCGAGGAATCTTGCGAGAGACACTCTTCTTCGTGCTTATCAGCATCATTTGCACTTTTATACAAAACATTGCGAGATGTAAAATAAGTTTAATTAACAAAATAATGTGTAAACTCACAGTAGTTTGCAAAGTATCGATGATGTCTTTGTGATCTTTGTAATTCTTCATTTCCTCTCGCATGTGTTTATACAATTCGCCGGTGTTCGAATAATCTGAGTATATGTCCATTAAGGCGACATAAATCGTGGTGCCAATTCCAAATCCGAATAACAACATTCCATTCTGTAAAACAATTATATGCACAGCAAATTATATGCACAGTATCGCTCTTGTAGAAATTTCTTACTTGACGTGTTCCCCAAATAATATATTTGTTTTAGATAATAAAAGCATTGTTCAACATTGATTTACACGTATTCAAAAAAGTAAGTACTACTTCGATCACACCGGTAATAAATTTCTGCAAGAGCGCGCATTGATCCGCAACAGATAATTCGCTTACCGCGATGATTATTTTTTGAGAATTTTGTGTGCCACCAAAAATACCGAGCCATCCAATCGCAATTAGCGCGATCGAACAACCGAAAAAAACGTTGACATGAAGGCTTTCATAATGGTCCAATAATATTAGGTCATTGAAAAAGTCGCTTTTAGTCAGAATGCTTATAGTTAATCCGCCTATTCCCACGAGCTGAAAAGAAACGGTCTGTTTTTTGTGCGAACAATATCGATCTTTGCAAATACGCGCATTTGTATACGTACGCTTAGTATAAGATTACACTGAATTAGAAAAATTTGAATCCAAAATTGCACGTTACGGTGTTTCGTAAGTTTTCGAACGCACAACAACGCCATTACTTTTTTCACGATAACAACATTCAACACTTATTGCGAAATAAGAAATATTTTTAACAAGAAGAACTTTGCAACAAATAGTCACTTTCTCGACGAACGTGCTTTACGTGTTTATAATAGCTTCTCAATGACAGAATCTCGTTACTTCCTAAGTTTTATCATGGCTATCTAGCAGCATAGATTTTTAATTGATTACACGTAATACTTCGATATGTTACTATATAGTTTTATACAACACATTTAGTAAAGTCTCTGAACAAACAAAACAATTTTCTCAGATGTGCTTTTGCACTTCAGAGAACATGTATTTATAATTAGCTTATTGCGAGTCGTTTTTGATAGCATAGTTGCGACGCGCTTTGTTTGCAATATCTGAAATAATAATAAAGAAGTCACAAAAAATATAGAGAAATTTGCGTTATCAGATATCTTTTATATGAGTAAGATGTAAGGGTCATTCTACAATGAGTTGAAAATGTCCCGTTGCCAGTTGCGAAAGGTAGCAATTACGAAAAGAAAAGTATTATTTCTAGTTGCGCTTTGTCGTTGCGGTTGCTAAAAAAGAGTTGGTCAACTTTTGTCAACAGCAACTGGCAACCGCAGCACGTAAAATAATACTTTTTCCCTAGTAGTTGCAACTGGCGACGGGACATTTTCAACTCATTGTAGAATAGCCCTAACAATATAATACATGTGATAGTTGAAAAAAAAAATTCTTGACAGAACTTTAGAATTTGCTATCTTGTTATCTCACGATATGTATTTTTGCGATACAGTTTCTCTGTTAATAGATAAAAGGTTTTTTACGATCTTTGTGTATACGTACACACGGCGTCAAAAATTCGCGGAGTAGGCGCGGGGATCGGAGGGCAAGCGGGGGGGTTCCTCGTAGCGCCAACGGGCGCCGTACGAACTAAGTAGTAGTCCACAACTACGTCGTGTCGATAATGTAACTATTCTTCTTTATTATTTTCTT